TTCATCAATTAATAAATAAATATGAAAATCGTAATTTTCAACACAAATAATAGTCTCGCTACCTTAATACGAGGCTACTGTTATAGTGATATAACATTTGTATAGGATATCCAGAAATTAGAGCTTTGTTTATGACCATCAGTGATGAAGAGCCGGAATAGGGAAGTGTTAGAAACTAGAATTACATAATCTCTCAAGGGTTTGGATCTTCCATGGTACATATTAGGATAGAATTGACGCCTCTCCGGGTAAAGAAATCATTGAGTGTTAAATGTCATAATATAAGACGATATATTTTGATAGATTTTTTGGGGGAAAACATAATTCGCTAATAATCCACTAAACCGAAATAAAGTCATTGAAACACAATGGTTTTGTCACGCACAATTGCCAGTTGTAATACAAAAATCATCCCAGCAAATACTACATTCAAACCAGAAAAATCAAACTATCGAATACACGTCTTAGTTGTACTATGGGTAACAATAGCAATCATTGTTTGTGGTTGAATGTAATTGTAATGATTGGAATAACATTTTCATGTTGGCACTTCCACTGACAGGTGAGATTCCGGTGGTCATTTCTACTTAATCAAGGGAAGTTCAAAGTTACCGCATCCATCATCTGCAAATATCTGACTTCAAGTACGGTTATGTGTAGCAGGCAGTGTCTTATGAAAGAGCACAGTTGAGTAGTTTACTATCGATTTACTTAAAAACTAAATTAATATATACCGTTGATTGTGTAAAACTATGATCAATCAGTTGTAGGGAAACGTGACCGGGTGTATTGAGAAGCTGGCAAATAAATATTGAACCCATCTTCTCCTATATTGCACAGACCCACCGAGGACCACTGCATTAATGTCAACACAGTTCTACTCGGATTTCTGCCTGTGTGGCGTACGTCATTTGTGGCTGTGTATCATCTATCATTGAATGTGGTAAACACACTCATCAAAATTTCACAACCAAAAACGGGTAACTTTTCTGTTCAGTTTAAGTGATATTATTCGTGGCACAAGAAGGAGTGCATCTCCCAATATGCAGACGGACAACGCCATCCTGGTGGAGTTCGCGCAGGTTTTGAAATTCCGATACCATGGTATGTGAATTTCTTGTTTTTTTGCTCCATTCAAGATCTTCAGTGTAATGATATGGCAGATCATTGCCTTTTTCATCGGTATAAAAAGGCCAATAACCAAATAGATGAATTTCCTCACAGACGGAAAGCCCAAGTGTAAACAACAGCATTCCTAAAATAAAATCAGAAACGCAACTATTATTATTATTATAAACAAAACATATATTTTTATTATGGATATATAAAGTAGATTGAAATAGTCGAAATTATTAAATAATTAATTTTTCACTGGAATTGGCCAAATAGATCAATTAAATTACATATGACAGAGCTTTGCCAAATATAAATGTATGTAAATTATGTATGTAAATTAAACTGACCTGTGGACACGTTTTTTTCAAGGTTCCAAAATTGTCGCAGTGATAGTAAGTACTTCTGGTCCAGTACCATAGTATTTAGTGTTGTACTGTGTTTCGCGTAATCCAAGAAATTGTGGGAAAAATTTGTTATGATAGCAAACATCAGGTGCCCGGTGAATGAGGATAACGTCTCGTTGAATGCAGATATATTGTAATTGTACCTAGAGGTCACAAAATTAAGTGATGACAATGTTATTTCCTATATTTTGTTGAGGTATTTGTTTAAACTGAATAAACGTAAACTGTGCTTGCTGACAGTTATAGCACGCAGTCAATCGTTTGCTGTTCTATCATATAATTGGTATATGATAATGCAAATTCATCGTTGAAATTGAACCTCAGTTTTTCTTACCTGCGCCAGATTATGCTTGGATTGAAACTCGTAAAGTTAGTTTTTTTCCCTGCATCACGTGTAAATCCCTTGATATAAGGAAGATTTGACCTGCAATGAACGGCCAGAATACTTAATAAAATCAAATGAAATATACAAATTTAGTAAATTGGCAATTTGGCACAATTGTACTTCACAAGTAACTGATAGGTTTTTGATATATTAGATATTTGATCAGCGCCCTCTGGAGACTGTTAGCCCAGCTCTATTAGACAGTTTTTAATGAACGTAGACTTAAAGTGATTAGATGCACTCCTCAATGACAATCACACACACATATGTTTATAGTCATAACCTTTTTAGCTCGAATTTGCCCAGGGACAAATTCATGTTCATTAGCAAACCCCTGGATCATACCGCGATACAGTAAAACCTGTCAAAATCTACTATCTGCCGTCAGAACCGACCGATTTATGTAGCCCCGAGATTTCTCCATAGACGCCTATGTTAAAACAACATGTATAACCCGACCACTGTCTTTTCCGAACACTGACCGCATTGATCGTTCCCAGGTCTAATATTCACACTGAATACGTCGACCATCCGACCAGTTGCACCACATCCGCTGTCTAGTAATCCGGTCTGCCCGACCTAAAAAGTGTGCATTGTGTTCAATTTATCATGAACGACACAGAAACAATACCAAATCTCACACTACAAGTAATGTCAACTGATTAAGTTTGCTCACACCACACGCCCACGCATCGCGTAGTGTCTGAACAGTATAATGACCCCGAATATAAACAAATGATCGGCGTCAGCATCTTCAGTTGCGGGGAAGCGCACTGCATCATCACCTCTTCAACGAGCAAAATACATTGAGTTTTCTTCTTTTCATAACGAGAGAAGAATCAGGCCTCGAAAATTCTCGCTGCCCGACGCCCGTGGCAACTAGATTTTATGTCAGGGCAAGTGAAATCAACAATGTCCTCGTCCGACGGGCAAGCCATTTTGAAGCTGATGTTTATTTCCCTAAGCTCGGCCCTTGATAGATTGATACAAATTATCAACATGTTTCTATTTTACGCCAAAGTAACGCGTGTGATAGCTGTCATTTATTTTTTGTTTCGTCCAATGAA